TTGACTATAATGGGGACAACACCAAAGGAATTTAGAGCAGCTTCCTGATATTATCCACCCACAACCACATACTTGGTGGTATATGAACGCCCACCTGCAAACACAAACACACACACATGCACACGGCTGCTCTCTCACACTATATCACTGCATCACAGTGCTAATAATCCAGTGTGTTTTGGGTGGGTTGACTGCATCTCTATTAGTGCCAATTTGGCATGACCTTTCCGCTCTCGCTATCTCAGCGCTGGCTTTGTAATCTGCGCTGGCTGCCCCCCATCTTGGCCACTTATCATCACACTGGGATTAATAGAAACATCTTTTGCAATTACAAAAATGCTGCTGTTGTCGTGCCGGGTCCTGTCAGATGGTTAAACGCGTGCCAAACCATTAATTCACTAGTAAAGGCCTTAGCACTACCCCACAATAAAACACAGAAATCTAGTATTGATCTTCATAAAGGCGTATACTCAGCATTTTATCTCCTTGCTCTTCTCTGGCAGACCAGTGTGGTTATTGATCTTCATAAAGGCAGTATTTTGTCGTTAGGCGAGAAGCGGAGGAGACAGTAATGAAAGGTTTTTAACCTGCGTGTTCAGGGGATCGCAGGACCACTGGTCAGGGCTGCAAGGTGCTACATGCAGCAGATTTTCAGCTGCACGGCCACAGGGATCGATAGGGATACATCTTTGTCTGATTACTGTGATGTACCGGCACTTTGTGTGAGTAGCCTGGGTGTGTGTGTGTGTCTTTGGATGTTACAGTAATAGCTGATCATTGGATCAACATTATTTAGACTTAAAGGAATAAATAGGTTGACCTCAGAGATGATATAGTGGCTCCCACAGAGACATCCTAAGACTGTTTACTTCAGCCACTGGTCTAAGCAGTAGGTCACAGATGTGACCCCAAAACAAGTGCCTTTCAACTTTGTATAGCATGGCATACTATAAGCTGATGGGCATTCATGAGAAATTTGCTTCTTCAGATGTATTAAAGCCAAATCCTGCTCTAGCCATTTTGGTACACTAGGGAAGATCAACTGGCAGCTTTGGGGCTGAAAAACACCCCCAAAAACCTCAAACTCCAATGTAAAAGTGCCAAAGCCAGAGTTCATTACTGAGCAGATGCCAGAAATGAACAAATTCACAGCCAGCAGCATTTTTGGTCTCTATAGCTGTTTGATCTCCACTAACGCTCAAAGTTAACCATCGTTACTGGGTGGTCCACACAATTCATCTAAGTTGACTTGAGTCGCTGATTAGTCATGATGGCTTGCTTCATACTTAATTTTGCTAACAGACCATCCAAGAAGCCTATGCTCAGGTTTTCTAGTGTCCAGACCACCACAGTGTCTGGAGATCCACCGTGCTCAGCACTTCACCCTCATATCTACATAGATTCAATTCAAATCAATTCATTATTATTTATATGAGCACTTAGAAAAAATGAGAAAGGATTGGCTATAAGGTAATGTCAATGTGAAAGGTTTAAAAAGTGAGGCCGCGTGGATGAGATTCGGTACAAAATTCTGCTGATAATATGTCTTTACTTGACTGATGTGTTGAATTCGGATTAGAATGACATTCACGTCTGATGGAGTCTATTTACTACAATGAGCTAATTACAAAACTAAATTCTGCAGGAAAGCAAGTAGATAATGACTCAGTGTAAGAATGCATAGTATGGTGTCAACAGCAGCATTCATTATAACTAAAAACATAATTTAATAGGAAATAACATAAATAGTTTAGTTGCTATGTTAGAAACAATGGGAAAATCTACAACAATAAATCCAAATTTTCTTCTCTTCCTTCTTGAATCTTATATGAGCTCAGTTTTAGGTCTCTCTCAATAAATACACATTCCCAACAAGCCATAAAAACACAACTATTCTGCATGCCAAGTATGTTTTTAGAGACTTCCCCCACCCCCTAATCATGCATAACTGTCACATGTGACTTATTACACATCTGTCTGTGGCTGCACGGTGCACCAGATGCTGCAGTTAATGCCACACCTAACCTTCCGCCATTAAGACGGTATAATAAAACCCAAGTGGAATTTTCCACTGCCAGCCTGCCTTCCTCTGTCACCGCTGTCCAGTACTGGGAGAAGCCTGTAGGGGATAGCCCAGACAGGATATTAATGGGTCCCTCCAAAAGTCAGAAGGCCTGACAGAGCCCTGTTTCATTGTCACCTTGCCTTGGAGGACGAGGAAAAACTTGCAAAGCTTATTAGGTGAATAGAGCTGTTTCTCACTCTAACTTACTCGATCTCTGCCTCACCGCTTCATTAGACTGTCTTACATCAGAGACCCGCTCCTGTCCCTGTTTCCTCACCACATCGCCACACTCACTTCCACACGCACTCACACACACAGGGTGACATCTCCCACCTAATCAAGTAGTGGATTATCTTGTCCTGATAAATTGGAGCTTGTAGCACTTGAAAGGTCCTCTTGGAGGAGTGCCTCCTCCCCCTGACAGCTAGATCGAGCCCCCAGGGAGCAAGGAGAGAGAACATTGCCTGGTAATGATTTGTGGTAAATCGGACAAATGTTTTTGGAGAGACCTCTTTCATGCAAGGAGCATGATGAATTTAAAGAATGTGAAGAAACCTCAAGTGAAATTTCTGATGTGAAAATTATATGTCATGTGTGCATTTTTTTTTTTTTGAATGAAGTGATTCAACTGCCCACAAGATTTTGATGAATCTTTTAAAGAAAATGAAAAATAAAGTCAGACAAATATGAAGGCCAAAGGAAACTGAAAAGAAATTCACTTTTTTAGGAGATATTTCTTTTATCATATCATTTTGTTATCTTTACATAAACTCTTATATGTTAAAAACAGAACAAGATCATTTTCCCCACATATCACTACAGACTGAAGAATAATTTTTCATGGCCCAGCTTATCATTAGCTTATCCAGGCATGGCTGCCATATATAATCAGGGTTAAAGTGGGATATGGCAGGGAGAATCCTAAGATCTGCTATAGCCATGTGGTGGTGCAGCACAGGGAAAAGAATCACATAGAAAATAAAAATGCAAATTTGCATAGTGAACTCCAAGTAGATTTGTTTTCTTTGCATACAGGATGTGATCAGCTGACCTTGGATGCTGCTGCTCTAAAGTCTCCTGCTTCTTGTAGATTTAATTGAATTAACTGACATATATAAGCAGCTCAATCAGATTCAACTTAAATGTCTGCTGCTTTCAATATAACCTAACATTGGCCATGAACACCACAGCCTGCTGTGCACCAGTCCAACCCAGCATTGTAAACCTTACACAGTACTGCAAACGAATTTAGCCTCCATCAAGGAGTACTAAAAGACCCTTCAATTTATCTTTCAAGTTTTTTCAGAATGTAAAAAAATATAACTTCTGCAAAACATCATAGACGCTGTCTGACTTATCAAATGTCACTGTGCTGTTTTTATCTTTGAAAATAATCTCTTTTTCCTCTCCTATCCTCTCTCACTGACGTCTTTCTCCATCTCTTAGACTAAACTGATCACACATTATTGTTTTGCTTTCTCCCGGGGAAATACAGTGTTTGCAGACACACTGTGGTCCAGACTGCACAGAAACATTTTGTGTTTAGAAGTATTTGTTGAGTTGTTTGAAAAATTTATAGTTACCTGCCAATTTAAATGTTTCTCAGATATGCTTGCTGATCTAGTGTTAGCCAAAGCCCTCAGCTAAAGGACAAAGTTCCACAAGTACAACTTTATTGACATGAAATCATGAAATCACAGTGACAAAAAAAAAACAAAAACAAAAAAAAACACGGGATGTCATACTTAGTACTATGTACAGTACTATGCAAGTATCTCCTTGACATCAACTGGAAACAATGCCAGACAGCAGCACTCAAAAAATGAACTCTCTTTACAGTACTATGTATTAAGCTAAGTTAGCTAGCTTAATGAAATTTTGTTACCAATTAATCAAAGGTGCTGTTCTGGATAATTCTGGTCCACATTAACCAACCCAGTATCACAACATACTGTGTACAGATGTGTATAGACACACCAGTCCACCGTGTTCATTTCACTTGTCCATTTGCTTGTCCAAAATTTGAAATGTACACCTATGCAGAAGTTGCATTACCGGCAGAAGGAGATAATATATTTAAAGCCAAGAAGCTGAAGTGCAGAAAATGTATGAAGTACATTGCAGGGTCCTTAATTGCTGGAAATGATTAAGCTAGGCAGGCTAGGCATATATATATACATGTAATGTCTGTTTAAGTGCTTTCCTGTGATTATTTTCATGTTGGCTTGAATTAAAATATTTCCCTCTGCTGTTACTGCGCCTTACTGCAACTTCTGCAAGCGGGACATTTCACGTTTTGTAGAGGCAAAGTGTGATGGACACGGCGCGGCTGTTATACACTTTGCATGATATCGGGTTGCTTTAACCCCTGATAAGCATGCTTCAGGGACTTAAATCCTTATTTGAGGAAAATAGTCTAGAATCCTTGCTTTAGTTTTTGTTTTTGCCCATAATGTCATTAAAGGGATGTGTTTTTTTAATGTTTAAATATTTGTGTGGGCCATAGTAAGGGTTCAGTGAGAAAAATAGTAGTTACTTGATGCACCTAATTATTTACACAAGCTTCACAATTTGGTTTGCCAAGTGATCAAATTTTAGTGGCCATCTCTTTGTTCCACCTGGCAATAGGTTGTTGGCAGACTCTTAAATGATAAATGTGCAACACAAATCAGTGTGTCTTTGACTGCTTCTAATTGTATGCCCACTACTGAGACAACCTCACTCTTTTCCTGCTTGCCTTTCATGCATAGCTCATGTCTTCAAAAATCGCCAAATATCTTGGTGTTGCATGACATTTACAATTCAACTATTATATAAAGTTTTCTGAATAATCAACTCTGACAATGGCCTGATTTGTTCTTGTTAGTTGTTGTTGTGAGCAACATTTTTATTGCTTTCTCTTCTGCTCTTTGTTTCCTCTGTTCCCCCTATGTAGGAAAACCCTTACATGTGTAACAATGAATGTGACGCCACCACTGAAGAGCTCGCCCACCCTCCAGGGCTGATGTTCGACACTGAGGGCCGCAACCCCACAACCTTCTGGCAGTCCACCTCCTGGAAGAAGTACCCAAAACCCCTACTGGTCAACATCACTCTATCTTGGAACAAAACCATTGAGCTGACTGAAGACATTGTCCTCACCTTTGAGTCAGGCCGGCCCGAACAGATGGTCCTAGAAAAATCACTAGATTATGGACGAACCTGGCAGCCCTACCAGTTCTACGCCACTGATTGCTTGGACGCCTTCACCATGGAGCCCAAGACGGTGCAAGACCTAACTCAGCATACCCTGCTGGACATTATCTGCACCGAGGACTACTCACGAGGGTACGTGTGGAAGAACGACAAAACTGTACGCTTTGAGATCAAGGACCGATTTGCACTGTTTGCTGGACCCCGGCTCCACAACATGGCCTCACTTTACGGCCAGCTAGACACGACCAAGAAGCTGAGGGACTTCTTTACCATTACTGATCTGAGAATCCGCCTGCTCCGACCTGCCACAGGAGCGACGATGGTGGATGAGAACAACCTGTCCAGATACTTCTATGCCATTTCTGACATCAAAGTTCAGGGCAGGTAAGACATAAAATAATCTGTACAAATACTGTTTGATGGACTCAAGGCTGGATTACCAAAAACGAAAATGGGGTTACAACCCATGAGCCTCAGACTGCAAGGGACTTTAAAAAAGCTAGGTCCAGTGTTTGTCTTAACTTTGATAAGTGAGTCAGTTCAAATTTTCATATAAATTGGCAGTGAATCAGTTGCACGATCTGATATCGTTGTGTTGGTGTTGTTCCCAGATCATCATACTAAATGTTGTTCCAGGATCAACATTGCAAGTGACCAATCAGAATGTTGTGACGTCATACTTTTGCGACTTTGGGAAAAAACGCCGTAAAACAAAAAACTGTACTTAAGCTGCAAGAAACCGCCTCTGTCCGCCGATCAACGGACCCTGACCCTGACTCTTTAATAAACGGTAAGCAGAATTGATATTGTCCTTGCAACATTGGAATTTCATAAATGCACGAATGGCTTGGCGCGCCAAAGAATAACGTCACAACAATGTGATTGGTCACTTGCGATGTTGAACCTGGAACAACATTTTCATGATGATCTGGGAACAACACCGACACGACAATATCAGATCATCTGAATCAGTTATCGGCCAGCAGGGGCGTAACAAAAAAGGTGCCCATATAGGTTAATCTAACAATGAGTTGACTCATTCTTTGTAAGGATCCTTTTAGAATTGACTGTTTCATTTTTTTCTATATTTTCTATATTCATTATTACAACTACAGTGCAGGTGCCAAGAAGTGAAGAAAATGTGTTGACTGTTGTCCATTCTTTCCAATTAGGCAGTGGATCTATAATGTTGTGCAGAGTTCATCAGTTGTCAGCATGTCTTAATTAACCAAGCAGCTTAGAGTTTGCTGAAGCACTCTACTTTAGACAAGAATTCACTCAGCTGTCTTTTAGCCCACGGAGCACATCAGATGTAGCATTTCAGCCATCAGGTCACTGTACGCTGTAATTAGTGTTTGATTTACAAAGTCTCTGGAGGGTCATATAACATCAAAACAAGACTCCGCTGTAGTGTTAGCGCAAAGGTTAACGAAAGCTTCCCCCGCTTCGTGACGCTATACTACAAGAGTCATTGAGGCGTCGACTTAAGTGGATCTGTTTTACACCGTGTAGTTTTTCAATTTAACAGACGTGAATGCGGTAGTGTGGGTGGAGGAATGAAGATTTAATTACTCATGTTTTGCTCTTCACATGTGAGAGACTCAGCTGTACAGAAGCACAGTGTGCAGAACGTCACAACAATTCGAGGAAATATGTGGAAGTGTTGAAGTCGGGCTGGCACACAGCAGTGCGTGTGTTGCAGCTTTTCTCAGCCTCAAGACAGACTTGGAAAGAAGACTAGAAATATAAACATCAGCAGTGTCCTGTTCAGTCTCATCAAATAATTGTTTGAGCCAGTGTAGTTGTTGGGGAAAAGTAAATCGAAAGTTCTGAATATGAGCATTAACACTTGATAGGAATTTAGAAATGACGTCATTCTCATCATACTCATGGCATTGCATGTTTGCGTGGCTCTGATAGTATTCACGTTATATTGCCGAATGCCTTATGATTCTCTCATTTGTTGATTTGCTTAATATGCTATTGAAATTGCCTGCAAATATACTATGGATCGCTCTAATGCACAGTAAATGGGCAGGTACCCTTCAGCACAAAGGCTATGATAATGAATGCTTTTCTCAGAAATTGAATTTTTGACTTTTCTCGTGATTGAGAAGGTCATTCAGCAAAAATAACTGGAGGGAATTTACTAACACAAAAGAGTTGGACGTGGCATCCATTTAACACACGGTGAAATGAAGAGGGCTGTCATAAGAACAGATTATTTATTCTATCTGACTAATCATGACCGAACTCATACATCGCTATGGGGCTGTATATTTGAGCAATGGCATTGCGGCACCGTCGGGCCGTGGTCGTTTACCAGCCTGCTGCTTTTAGAGTGACGCTCGACTAAGAAAGATTCCCCACTGTTTACCAAAGGTAACACACAGTTCAGCCATAATGAGATACACTCTACACAGAGAGGCTTCACTCTGCTCCCCCCCA